TGACAAAATACTACATTTCTATTTTATGGTCATATTGAAGGTTTGCTGTGTTTGCACTTGTTGCTTTATAGCACAGCTTGTCTCATAGCCTTGTGAAATCTAATTCATTCATGTGATCTAATCGATTTGTGTTAATGAACTGATTTACTTCTTTTTTATATCAAAATATTATGTTAAATGCTGTTGTTAATCACTATCATCCCCCTCAGTTATATAGATTAAGGTGTAGCTTTTGTAGTTGTATTTAGTGCAAATGTATCCGTCAGTGCTGTTACCAATTGATGATTCATTCAAAATCCTCATTGTTTAGTGCCACATTTCTGATTTAATGACAAATGACATAATCTGGTTTATATTTAGTTTTATAAAAAGATATCCCCACCTCCATAGCTTAAGTTGTTAGCTACTTTTTGTTTGTAGTTTTAAGCTAACAAGCTAAAAGATTAGCTTGTGAAGCAAGAGCTTCCCTAAGAATGGCACTAACAGTCCTCAGAAGTGAAGTTTGACTTTGTCTAGTATATAAAAACATTGATATACTCTGATACAATATCTTACAGATTAATATACAGAAAAGCTCTCATGTTGTGTGTCTTTAAAAGATTATTTGCCTGTATGAGCCAGTGCATTGGCAGCACTCCTAAAATCAAATCTAGAAAAAAAAGAAAGAGAGATAAAGCTCACCTTCACCGTTAAGGATATGAGTCATGTTCAGACAAGATCAGGCCAGCAACCTTTCAAAAAAAAAAAAAAGAGACAGAAAGACAGTAGCAAACTGACAAAACCCCAAACAATAAGGAGGGCTGAGTGGAGGTTTAGAGATATTCTGTTGCAATCATGTCTTAACCAACACAGCCCCTTCAATGCAAACATATCTCTATCATCGCTCTGCAACTGCACGCATCTCTGGGGGGGCTTTGACATTGCGGGCACACAGAATCGAGCAGGACTTTGATGCATGTGGACTTTGAGAGGTAGAGGGGATGCCAGCATTGCTGCATAGAAAGCCACAGACAAGGAGGTACCCACCGCCACCTGGCATTTGGAGCATCACTCAAGAAACACACAAGCCAAAGCAAAGGTCACAGACTGTGACAAGAAGCAGCTTTTTTGCACTTGCTGTTAGAGGTCCCTTGAGGGCCTCTCAGAACACATCCAGTGTAAAATAAACATGATCGCATGTCTGTGTCCAGATAAAACATTTAAAAGTCCTGCTCCAGCAGACGCTTGCAGGTAGATAATACCTGGCTTCACCTGTCAGTCAAACTAGCGTCAGTCAGAAAGCTTTGAAAGATAGTAATTAAAGGCAATTAAAATGAAGCAATGAGGTACAAATGTGTTAGATTAAGTTTTAAAGAACACAGTTAAGCTTAACAAACAGCCTCGGGGGCCTCATTGCTTTAAAAAAAAAAAAAGTTAATATTACAAAAATATCAGGGACAAATTTTCTTTTTAGCACAACTGAAACGTAGACCAATCAGCAGTCAGGACCCAAACTATCTGGTTTATAATAACTTTTAAATATTAAAGGGGTCATATGATGCAATTTCAAGTTTTCCTTTCTCTTTGGAGTGTTACAAGCTGTTCGTGAATAGATAAGATCCCTAAAGTTGCAAAGACTAAAGCCTCAAACCCAAAGAGATATTCTTTATAAAAGTTAAGACTCGTCCACGCCCTCCTAAAACGCCTCGTTTAAACAAGCCCCCACGTCTACGTCACTGTGTGGGAAGATTTGCATAACACCGCCCAAATGTATACGCAAATAAAGAAGGCGTAACTTTGATTCTCGCTGTAGTATTGTTGTTGCCGCCGCCGCCATGTCGTGGAGATGCTGTGTGTTTCGTTGTGAAAGCAAAACTACTTTGTTTGGTCTTCCAAAAGAGGACACAACTAGAAATCAGTGGTTAAGTTGTAGTTACAACACTGTTCCAGAACAGTTCAACCCAAATATTCAGATATGTTTACGGAGGACTGTTTCCTGAACCTGGTAGAGTAGACTACAATGCAGGCTGTTCTGACTCACAGACTGTAAGTACCCTGTATTGGACAGGTGATGAGCAGTGTCTGGTTTTCTCCACACATACCGCTTAGAGTTAAGGCCAAAAAGTTCTATCTTGGTCTCGTCAGACCAGAGAATCTTATTTCTCACCGTCTTGGAGTCCTTCAGGTGTTTTTTTAGCAAACTCCATGCGGGCTTTCGTGTGTCTTGCACTGAGGAGAGGCTTCTGTCGGGCCACTCTGCCATAAAGCCCCGGCTGGTGGAGGGCTGCAGTGATGGTTGGCTTTCTACAACTTTCTCCCATCTCCTGACTGCATCTCTGGAGCTCAGCCACGGTGATCTTTGGGTTCTTCTTTACCTCTCTCACCAAGGCTCTTCTCCCCCGATAGCTCAATTTGGACTGACGGCCAGCTCTAGGAAGGGTTCTGGTCGTCCCAAACGTCTTCCATTTAAGGATTATGGAGGCCACTGTGCTCTTAGGAACCTTAAGTGCAGCAGAAATTTTTTTGTAACCTTGGCCAGATCTGTGCCTTGCCACAATTCTGTCTCTGAGCTCTTCAGGCAGTTCCTTTGACCTCATGATTCTCATTTGCTCTGACATGCACTGTGAGCTGTAAGGTCTTATATAGACAGGTGTGTGGCTTTCCTAATCAAGTCCAATCAGTATAATCAAACACAGCTGGACTCAAATGAAGGTGTAGAACCATCTCAAGGATGATCAGAAGAAATGGACAGCACCTGAGTTAAATATATGAGTGTCACAGCAAAGGGTCTGAATACTTAGGACCATGTGATATTTCAGTTTTTCTTTTTTAATAAATCTGCAAAAATGTCAACAATTCTGTGTTTTTCTGTCAATATGGGGTGCTGTGTGTACATTAATGAGGAAAAAAAAATAACTTAAATGATTTTAGCAAATGGCTGCAATATAACAAAGAGTGAAAAATTTAAGGGGGTCTGAATACTTTCCGTACCCACTGTATATCTAAATCAACTACATCTGTACCTTTAATCAAACTCATTTCTAATGTATCTATTTTGTTAGCACTTAAAGAAATTTAGATTTATTTTGCAGTAATAAATTAATTACTTACTGATTTCTATTACTTACATTATTTAATATGATTATATATTATTTATCGTAACACAGTACCCATTGGAAACACACATACTACTGTTCAAAGTTTGGGGTTGCTAACATTTTATTTAATTATTTTAATATTTTGAAAGAAGCCTTTTATGCTCACCAAGGATCCATTTATTTGATCAGACACACAATAAAAACAATACTGTAAAATACTATTTAAAATAACTGTGATATATTGTATTATATATTAAACTGTAATTTATCCATGTGATGACAAAGCTGAATTTTTAGCAGCCATTAGCCTACTCCAGTCTTCAGTGTCACATGATCCTTCGGAAATCATTCTAATATGCTGATTTGGTGCACAAGCAAAACATGTATTATTATCAATGTTGAAAACAGTTGTGCTGCTTAATATTATATTAAAATTAATACAAATGAATTAAAGTATTAATTCCTTTAAAAAATCTTCAAACTTTTGAATGGTAGTGTATATTACATTAAAATTAGTAACCCAAATTAAAGTAATTACTGCTTTCTTTATCACCCAGTAATAGTATTATCAGTCTCTTGCTGTTTTTTCCTGTAACACTGCATGTGTTTGTTGGTCTGATTTTGACATACGCTCTCTCAGGCTGCTGAGCATATTTGCAAACGGAGAGGGGCAGTGGAAAGAAAAGAGATGGCATTTGACTAAAACCACAAGTCCTTCAAAAAAAAAAAGAAAAAGAAAAGAAAAGGGGGGGGCTCATTCTATATAAGACCACATATCTATTCTCAGTACAAGATCGAGAGATTCACACAAGCAACAATATAAACACCACACAACCATGTGAAAACAGTTCTGTGTGAAAATAAGAAGGAAACGAGCGGAACAGACAGCAACAGGTTCAGATGATGACAGTATTTAATGCAGAAAAGCCCATGCTTTAAAAACCAACATAGAATGACACTTTCCTTAAAGATGCCAAGGTTACAAAAGTCAATCTTAGAAAAAGTTTTACATCAGTAAACCTTGGTCTTATAAGATTTCTATTTTTAAAAATGTAAATATATATATTTATTTGGATATCTGACTTTGGATTTCAAGTCAAATAGTACTAAACAATTCAATATTAATTCAAATCTCTCCAACAGTTCCATACAAATGCCTTATAAGAACATTTTTGACAACACTGTACCTGAGAAAACCCCAAAAAAGCGAACCGACACACAGCAAAAGATAACCCCCTTTCAACATTTTTACCAAAATATACTGCATATAATTCATCCATTTATTCACTTATATAAAAATACACTGCAATCCCTTGTTTTACGGTTTGTAAGGTCCACAGTGAATAAGAACAGTTAAAAAACACCTTTCTCTCACCAAAAAATATATATTTACACAGATGAGAAAATAGCAGTCCCATACACTTTAAGGTAAAAAGTGAAACCTGACTCTAGAGTGCCTTTCTTGTCATTTCAAGTACTCTCCACTCCCAAAAGTGTGGACTCATCGTAAGAACACGTTTTGCTCATGTGCTCTTGTTCATTCGGGTTGTAAACATAGTTTTCCATCAATGTTTCCTTCACCTTGTTCCTTTTTTGGAGAAAAAAAACAATGTCTAATATACAATAAGCTTTGATAATAATTCTATAAAATGCCCTGGAATTGTGGAGCACATTCAATATCATGCCTGCATGTGACACCAATCCCAAAAAAAAAAAATAAATCTAAAATGCCAAAAGATTTTCATGCTTCACAAGAACGAATACAATTCTTCAATATGTTTTAGGTGGTGTGTGTGTGTGTGTGTGTGTGTGAGAGAGAGATTTGTGACATTTTATGGAGGTGTAAAAAGGCAAAGCTATATTTTAAAGAACAATACTATGACATGTTCAAACAATATGAATGCATTTCTATCAGTGATGTTGTGCCTTTTAAGTCTTTTTCCTCATAACGTTTAAAGGGCATATTCACAGTTTTTTGGAGTTTTTCTCAAAGCAGAAAAGACAAAAGCAAAGCTTTAAAAAACAATAGGTACAACAAAGTCTGATAGTGATGTAAGGCTCTTTTAGCGCTGACATAAAAGCCCAACAAATGTGCAAGGGAGGTTCTGAACGTCGTGAAGGCTGCGGTTGTACACTTTAAGCCATACACATCGATTAAAGCTGGATTTATGGTTGTGCTACAGAATGCTTGATGTAAATATTCAACAACATTGAATACAGAAAAAATAATGAAAGAAGGGAAGAGAAATAGGAAGGGAGAATAAACGGCTACGTGAACATTCAAAACTGTCTACATTTTTACGACCGATTTCAATGCTCTGAAAACAATGAGAAATAAGTCTCTGCATCAAGTATGGGAAAACTGTTAAGGGTTTGAGGGGGTTAAACATTGTCTGATTAATAAACCGCGTTTTATCTTCTAAAGCTCTTGTGCAGTCCGGGTTAGCGATGAAATTTCGACGACAATCTTCTAACATCTATAAAAAGCTGTTGTTTTATTAAAAGATCTGCCTTGTTCTGTTACCAGGCAGATTCTTTTGTCAATTATCACTGTGCAACGGTTATTTATTTTTTTTTCACTGCGTCCAAAAAAATGATAAAATGTATTAGCTAACTAGAGTCAAACCAAAAATGCATATGCAGTGCATATATGTGCATATTTCAGATCTCAGCTCTTAGAAAGCTCAATAACAAATACATAGGTCCATGTGTGGGGCCAAGAAAACTACATTTGTTGACTGAAAAAGAAAATAAATCTAAACTCTTTTTTGAGTTTGTGCTGTAACACTCAAGACAGTCAGAGGAGTTTGATTTAATGAGGCATTAATAATGAGGCATTTGGTCTTAAGGCTGAATGAAATTAACAGATTTCAATCAAAGTATGGCAACCCTGTTATTAAAGCATGGTAATATAGGTGCAGACTTGTTCCCTGTTGAATCACAGATGACAATATACTAGCTAAACGGCACACTGACCTTTGTTCGCTTTATCAATAGCATGGAAATAGCATATTTTCGCCCAAGGCCTCAAGCTAATAGTGCAAAAACAGGTTTATAAAGGCATGTTGCAGTGCTGTTTTCAGCGAAGTGCATAAGAACGCAAGAGATGATAGGAAGTGTGCAACAGCAGCAAAACACAGCGTGGAAAACTCATCGGTCTTTAGCATGGCAAAAGTATCACTGTCTCCTGTTAAAATCCACGAGACACATGGGGGATTGTCATCAACACTTCATTAAAATGTGTCCGAAAGATTTGTGCCACCCTACAGGACTGCTTTTGTGAAACTCGAATAGCACCGATATGAGGACATTAGCAAGCTCATACGCCCCGGAACTTCATTGAAAGGGAGCGAGTGATGAGAAACGATGCTAAAACGATACAAAACACAAAATCGTTCAAAACATCAGCAAGGCACTAAGAAGCCACAGCAGCAAGAAGCTATGAATTAAAGTCTTTTTTTTTGTATGCAAAACTAAGCAGTCTAGTTCTCCAGTGGTCCTCTGCTTGCTCGGTTTACCTGTAATATTGATCAAGGTCCATGAAACAAGAATGACAGCATGCATCGAGGTAATACAGATGACAAAAAAAGAGAAAGAACTCCACAAATTTAGATAACATTTAGCTGCTCTGTTGGAAGTTTCAGCACATATACAACAATAAACTCTGTGTGGGGTGAAAAAATGAAAAAGAACTTTAAAACGAAACGTTCACAACATAAACAAATTCATCCCCTCACCCAGAACAAAAATCTTCAAACAGCTCCAAAATGAAAACTTTCTATTGGACCCAAACCTTCATATATCTGCCGATTGGTGCTCACGTAATGCTTCGTCAGTAAACTAATGCCGTCTGCAGTAAACTGACTGCGAGAATGCGTGGGATTCTTAACGAAAGGTGTGTTCTCCGCGGACGATGTGAGAGGAGAACTCGTAGCGATCTTTGCTGCAGTGGCCACAGATGTTGCACTCGAGTGGGTCTCTGTAACCGTGGCAACCCATGTGGATGGTGTACATGACGTGGTCCAGGAACAGGATGCGGCAGTGTTCGCACTGGAACACCCTCAGCTCCTGGCCTTCACGGCTGAAGATGCGGATGCTGTCCCTGGCGGCCACGCGGCCGGCATCAATCACCCTGCCTTCCTCTGCCCGGCCAAAACCCGGGCTGGATCTTGTCCTGGGCCCGGCGCCGCTGAGCTTGTCCCGGGGGCTGCTCCGTGCCGAATCGGCCGAATCCTGTCCACTGTTGCACGGGGACCCGTCTCGGGCCGATTGAGGATTCTTGGGCCTGAGCAAGGGGATCGCGCCATTGGTTGGGTGTGGGAACTCTGGGTTCGGGTGGGGCAACGGAGGAGCCTCTCGACTGCTGGGACGGTCCATGCGTGGGCCAAGCGGGTACATCGGATGGAAGAGCGGGTTCACCATAGGCAGCACTTCAGCCATGGAGAGGGATGGGTGATGGACCATAGGCCTCAAGGAGTCGGAGCCCAAGTAGTTGATCGCATTGCTAATGGAGTGGTCCATCAATTGGGCATGCATCATCTCAGCTTCCTTCTCATACTTGGGGCCCATCTCATAGCTCAGCTCGGGGTACGAATAGCGAACCATTTTATCACCTTAACAGACAATGCAATAAAAGATACATCAGGAACAGCCCCAAAGTACTTTCCATCATGATTGAAAAAAAGACTAACCTTGCAATTTACTGTAAAAAGTGGATTTAAAATGCTGTTACTATGTTTGTGTTGCATTAATGATGGAAAGCCCCATTTGGAGACTGAAGTGAGAACATTTAACCCCTGCATAATATGGATGCGGTAAACTGCTCTGGCGTAGTCAGTAAAAGCAATGGCAAAGTTACAGGTGTGCAAAAACCACAGAATGAAAAAAAAACAACTCCTACTCAACCCTTTTTTCTCTCTCTCTCTCTCTCTTTCACTTTAATACTTAGTTTGATTTCCGCAGATATTGTCATTACAACGCATGTAATGAGTTTCATTTCAAATAATGTTTGTCTCTGATAAAGTCGTGCTACTGTGCATACATTTTTATCTCTCTTAAGAGATCTTCCATTACAATTTAACTATCTCTTTATTTTTTTTAAATGTGAGTTCTGCTCTCTGTTCCTTCATGTGGAAACTCAGCGTTCACTAAACGGTTGCATGTGGTATTTCAGCTCCAAAACCTGCATGTTACTCACTAACCAACGGCAATCCAGTTTAACCAGGCGCTAAATACTCTGAAATAGTACTGTGCTGTATTTAAATAAGTCATTGTCTTTATTTAGAAGCACAAATACACGTACTTTCTCAAATAGACCTATTATAGCTTATGCCTAATTCACAAAACCCCACCATATTTGCCTGACACAATTACCGTTGCTCCTATAGAAAGTAGAAGGTACTTTTTTTTATTACTAAAAATAGTTTTTTGTACATTTGTAATGATTATGGTGGAAATAATTTATGAAATGATGATTAAATGATGGAAAAGTTATAATCAGATACATGTGCTTTAGACAAGCTTTCTTTCAGCATTTTAAACATATTTTTGGCTGTGAATGTGCCGTTACCTGATTTAAAACAATGCAGAGAGCATATCCATTTTGCATTATGCACATACAGGGACTTTATGTGTGAGGTTGAAAATGTTTCTTGCACAATGTGACCTGCCTACATTCATTAGCACCGCTAGAACTTTGAAGATCAGTTTGTTGCATACAGTAGATTCAACCACATTTACTGCTGAGGTGACACTTACCCACAAACTTCTGTGGCGTGGTGCTCTTCCGTTTACCCACATTCCCCTGCAGTCTTTCAATTACAGGAGGCCGGTCGAAAGCAGCCATCCCAGCTGACTCCAGCGGCCTCTGCTCCTTTGGTACCTCCCCTGGTAAAAAACAATAAAACAGTTCAGCTCAGCATATCAACAAAGCTGGTCCATAAAACCTGGAGAAAACTATTTGCTAGCATTCCCATTCATCTCAAAGTTTCACAGCCAGATTGTTTTGAGCCGTAAATGTTATGAGTCTAATTTGTCAAGACAACACTGATTTTAGCTAGAATGATAATTTTGAATGAGTTTCAATGGATAAAGAAGCTTCTTGCTGTCAGATGGTGTGGTTCGGACCATCTACCAATAGAGGCTTACCATGCTAACCAGCAAAACCCCTTGGTGTCAACAAAACGTACCCCATATATGTTCAATGTAGCAAATCGATGTTAGTAATTCATGTTTTTTTTTTTTTTTTTCATTTCCAAGAAACATACCAGCTTGTGGAACACCACTGTGTCATCCAACACCGTTATAGATACATATATATAACAATATAGATAAGACAGGGGCTAACCATGCTAACCAGCAAAACCTTGACCACTTGGTCTCAACAAAATGTACCCCACAAATGTTACGTGAAGCAATTCTATGTTAGTAACTGATATTGTTTTTATTCCAAGAAACATACCAGCTTGTGGAACACCGTTGTGTCACCGAAACGTTTTCACAATAACACTAGATCAATGAGGCGGAAAACCATCATCTTACATTCTCAATGAAGTCATGAGCCACTCACCTGGATACAGGCCAGGATTGGAGGTGGAGTTCATGCCGACGCTCTGCAAGTAATTATGACACCGTTCTTTGTGCTCCTCCAATGACGTGCGCTGCTTGTAGCTCCGCCCACAGTAGTTACACTTGTGTGGTTTGCCCACTAAAAAGACATCAAAGAGTAGCAGAATAAGTATTAAGATGTAAAATAACTCATTCAGACCGCTCACACAAATGAGTTTTGGTCTCCAACTAAGTAAGCGAGAAAGTGGGCACAGAATTTCGCGATGATGCAACCACTACAACATGGTGAGGGGGTTAGCTCCATAGAATTACATATGAGAGTAGTAGTATTCGATTTGTATTTGTTTTATCATCATCCATCTGTTATTGGCACCACAAGTGATGACTTGGAAAGTCTCTTTGAACAATAAGCAGAAACGGAGTGAGTGTTTCTCCTCAGCCAGATAAGGTGTGAAGTGATTCACAGTCAGTTCCACTAAGATTAGGTCAGTGCAAGGGCGATAATGCGGGACAGAACCTCCCAAGAAAGATGCAAAAGGAACAAGCACCTTGTCCTTCCGTCGTGGGCAGAGGAGAGTAGGAGGAGAACGATGCTTAGCCTCCAGAAACAGATGTGAGTTTTCCAAAAGCTAATGGAACGATTCGTTCATCGATTCATTCCGAGCTTCATTCATCAATTGGTTGAGTCATTCATTTATCTGTCATGTTTTTCTCATTCACTCATCAGTATCAAATCGGAACATAGCCCACCGTTACGTCTGCGCTGTTCTGTTATGTCAGCTAAAAACCTAATTGAATTTGAGAGAGGGGCTGCTTTTAGCTCTGTGGTCAATCCTCTGGTAAAAGGGACTTTCAGAATTATTCATAAAGAGCGTGGCAGTGAAACAAAACAGCCTAGTGAACTGAGTCATACTGTATGAACATAGTTAACCAGTCAGTCTCTTACTGCACGTGAGAAAATAATGAAAATTCACACCTGTTACTAGCAAGCCTGTGGGATTACCTGTAAAGTGTGCCAATTTTAAAAATACCCCATACACTTTTCGGTAACCCTCTTCAAAGCGCCATAGTGCTTTCAGTCTGAAGCAAACAGTGAAAGTGACACAGCTACTGACTGAGATGCTGTGAAGTGACCTTTCACATGTAGAACACATGTCAAACAACAGAGGCCCTGTCACTTTTGTGGGAAAGGATGGATTACAGCAACAGAAAAAAATAGCTTCGGTCCGCCTGGAATACAATGTATCATAAACCAATTAATTCACTGAAGTTTCAGATTCAGTGGGTTAAAATTGTTTAGTGTAACTAAGCTCTAATTTAAAAATAAAAAAATATATATATATTTTTTTAAATGTTAAAATATTAAAATACAATAGTGTTATATAAAATAATAATTATATAAAATCATTTATAAACTGTGTTTTATTCATAAAAATAAAAAATAAACTAAACATTTTACAATATTATTTTAAAATAAATATAAATAATATTATAAAATAAAATACTTTATTTTATTTATAGAAAAATAAAAACAAAAATATTTAAAAATAATTTAAAATATTGTTATATAATATTATTTACATATAAAATAATATATAATATTATTTATTATTTATGAATTTTCTTCATATACAAATGATTATCAATTTATAATATTAGAATATATTATATTAGAAGAAAATAAAAATATATAAAATAATATAAAGATACACATAAAATACAAATGTATATGCATTCACGTGAACTGTCACACCATATCAACTGTGAAGAATGCTTAAATGTGCTTATTATTATTACTACATTTAAACAGTCTTTAGTTTTTTAATTTTGGGGTCTTTATATGTCAGTGGGTGACTGTAAAAAAAAAGGTGACATTTTTTGTCACACTTTCAATATGTCTAATAAACAGGAGGTTTTAAAAATGTACTTGTGCGCATGACAGCACATCAGAAATGGTTTGGAGCAGACAGACAAAGGATATAGTGAATCCACACTGACAAATCTACACTATAAATGGAAAAAAAAAAGAGAACTGAATTGTTTGGTTCAATGAACTGTCACAAACACCTGCAAACTGCAAAGTCTGGGACAGGCAATCATGCTAATATGTGATGAAGAGAAAGATTCGAACTCGTACGGTGTGAAAGAAATGCAACAAGCAATTTTATCGATTAATAGCAGCTGTTCAAAACCCTATGAGTTCCTATAGCAAAGTTTGGACGATTCAGAAAAAAAAAAATCCCTGTCTAAGCACTTATTCAAATGCAAATTCATGCACATATAGTGCTGCATTAAAGCCCTCTAAACCGCATCCATTCGGGTTGAAAACAGGAAACAGCGAGATGAGGATGACATTTCATTTCAAGTAAATGCCTATCAATTGTAGAGCATCAGCAAAAGTGCTCAAGTTACTCAACTGGTAGTTAAACATGAACCCAGCTGAAAGCATCCACTCCCTGAATCAAACGTTAGCCCCTCACATCACATTTCCTATTTTACTAAGCTGCCAAAGCAACCCAGAGCAAAGTCACCAACATTATGACACATGCCTAAAACTGTGGTGCAACATATGCTGTTTCAGTTTCATCTTTTAGAGCGTCTGTGGTCTGCGTGCATGCATATGGATTCCAGTGACAGGCGTTTGTCAACGATCGGATAGCCAAAGTTTTGCACGATTTTACTCCCTCTTAACTTAACTTTCCTGGGCTGTTTGCCACCAATCCTCCTGTTGCCAAGGGCCAGAAAGGAAGAGGTCCTTCATGTGGCGCCCGCTGCCCAAGACCTGAAAAGTCACTCCCATTCCGCTCCAACTGAGGTGGCTGGCGGGAAGGCGGACAGGTCACTGAGGAGCGGGGATGGACTTACGGCAAAAAGGGCGAGACCACCCTGGTCGGCATTGCTTCTTAAGTCCTTGAATTACTCATTAAAATGGCTCCAGCAACAACTACATGTCTCACACTGTGGTAGAACAAAGCTTTCTTGTGGCATCTCCTTACTAAGCCTATAGAAAAGGAAATGCAAATGAGTTAATGACTCTCATCGGCCACAAACGTTTATATGCTGAGGTAGTTTGGTGCGTGGGCTTTGGTGGTAAAAGTTCTCACACTGACATTTGATATCAATATGATAGACCACAACACACACACACACCACAAATTTTGCATAGTTAGTTAGTTAGTTATTAAATGATGGAGAATCTATACTACCAGGCTGGATACATCTACTCAATCTGTATCATGACTACGATTGAATAGTCAACACAACTATGAAATAAGACAAACGGAGGAACTTAGTGACCAAAAAAAAGTTTTACATTTAAATGTTTTGTAAAGAAATTCGTGCATAGGCACAATTTACCGTTAAAAAGTTTGCGGTTAGCAAGACTGTATTCGTTCTTTTTATACATTTATTCAATAATGCCGATCAGAAATCGATCAAAAGTGACATTTATAATATTTTGAATTACCAAAATCAGCATATTATAATGATTTTTGAAGGATTATGTAACACTAAAGACTTGAGTAATGGCTGCTGAAATTTCAGCTCTGCATCATAAGGAATAAATTACATTTTACAATATATTAAAATAGAAATAATATTTTACAATATTTTTACAGTATTTTTAATCAAATAAATTAAACAAAAATATTTTAAAATACACAACGGGATTGTATTTAGTATATAATTATATCAATTTCAAGATCAAGACTAATTTAAAATATTTAAGCACATATATGTGACCCTGGACAACAAAACCAGTCTTAAGTCGCTGGGGTATATTTGTAGCAATAGTCAAAAATACATCGTATGGGTCAAAATGATTGATTTTTCTTTTATGCCAAAAATCATCAGGATATTAAGTAAAGATCATGTTCCATGAAAATATTTTGTAAATTTCCTACTGTAAATATATTAAAACTTAATTTTTGATTAGTAATATGCATTGCTAAGAACTTAATTTGGACAACTTTAAAGGCAATTTTCTCAATATTTTTTATTTTCTTGCACCCTCAGATTCCAGATTTTCAAATAGTTGTATCTCGGCCAAATATTATCCTATCCTAACAAACCATACATCAATGGAAAGCTTATTTCTTCAGCTTTCAGATCGAAAAATTGACCCTTATGACTGGTTTTGTGGCCCAGGGTGACATATTTAGATCAAATGGTTTTTAAAATCATGAGAAGCAAATTCAGTCAATTGTGTGAACAAAAACATAGTGGTCATCAGCTCTAAAACCTGTGACCATCAGCGCATATGGGAAACCAAAATGTAGCTATGTCTTTAAGAATTATTTCATATATTCTGCCCACAAAAACAGGACACCACAGACATCAGCTGCCCTGCCTAAAAACTGTGCTATCCCTGCGCTGTGATTAGAGCTGCAAAACAGGAAATGACAAAAGTCGAAGAAAGGCAGAAAAACACGATGAGAGTGATAGGTCGCTCCTGCTCTCCCTGTGCATTTTAACCAAGCCGTCCCTGAGTGACAGCTCGTGAAGTTCCGAGCCGAACGCTGATGGTATCATATGACCCGGATCTTCAATGATGAGGACTAGACAACTGATGGTGGGCTGATATGAAACTGGGTTAGAGAGTGATGCTTCACCAAAGCGACACTTCCCTTTGGTTGACAGAGAGCATTTCCTTTGGTGAAGCGCAAGACTTGCAGGCAACACAACAGCATGTCCTAGGTGGCCTCACAGAAGTGTTTGCTCTATACACCTCCCTCAGGACAGAACAGCTCTGTTCGGTTTTTCCAGAGCATGTCAGCTGCGGTCAAAGAACCGCAATCGTTTTCTAGGCTATGGCACACATTAACACCACACTACTGCCCATAAATGTGTCTTCTTATAGCAATTGCAGCAATATAGAGCTGTGGGAGCCTGACCTGAGTGTGTGCGCAGATGTCCGCTCAGTGCATCACGGCGGCGGCAAGCGTAGCTGCAGAACGGGCATTTGAAAGGCTTCTCTGCCGTGTGGAGTTTGATGTGTCTCAGTAGGTTGCCCTTTTGAGTGAATGAAACCCCACACTGGTTACACTGGAACGGCCGGTCACCTGATGGACAGAGGATGAAAAGAGTCACGAACAAGAGACACATGCTAATCACTGGTTGAGCTAATGTTTAAAAAACATATAAATACTGCAGTGTTTTCAGTGTTGCTGTCTTTATATAGACTTTTTTACCATGCAGCACATGCAGGCACTGCTGTTTCCACTAGGGGTTGGCTGATAAATTGAATATAAAAATATAAAATGAAGCAACATTGAGACATTTCAATAGCGGCTTTGATATAAACTTAAATGGAAAAAAATGGTGTAATATTTGTAAAATGTATTTACAAGAATCAGTCTATTTAAAAAACTCGTTAGCACCATCACTCATTCGTAGTGTGGCCTTTTTCATATTAAAATGTAAACAACCACCTGCCCATTTCTGAAGCCAAAATGTCTGCATATCTTAAATATGGAGTTTGATTCATTTTAACGAAATGTTTCAAACTGTCTGATTCAATATCATTTGTCATCACCCAAAAGATTCACAAAAAAATCTCAAGGTATTTGCATATATACTGCTGGTTACATAGGTGAATATAAATAAAAATTAAAATTACTTGGAAAATTCAGCTTCACCCTCACGTGTATACATTTTAAAATATATAAAAATATAAAACGTATTTTAAATTGTACTAATATTTCACAATATTATTGTTTTTACTGAAAACACTTTTCAAAAACATTTTTAAAAATCGTACAGAAGAATCTGAATGGTAGTACATTTAGTAAAAAAAAAACTGAAAGCATGTCTTGAACTTGAAAGATATCTATATTTTTGTTGTTTTTTCCTTCTTAATTGCACATAGATTTTGAGTTTACTTGGCTAAAATGACTGTTTGGTTGAAATAATGTTTCTCTAATTGAAAAGATTCATCTTTTTAAATAGTTGTTTTGAGTAAATATACACACAGTTACACAAATACATTTTAATAACAGAAGAAAGTTTCAAAAATAAATGATATATACATTTTAGGTGTATCACCCAGCTCTATTGCCACCACAGAATAACGTGCACTAGCTGTTGGTTAAACATAGTATTACGTAAATGATACCATGTGACCTCCATCATTGCCACTGCCACAAGAAGAACACTTCTAAGGATCTAAAGAATCTAAAAAATATATATTTTTCACAGGTATGATAACTGCTAAATCTATCGGATACAATTCTTTGTTGATTATATACCTAATTATGATTAATTAATTGGATTACTCATGTATTAGACCTGCTGCGTGAGCACCTGCTCTAAATATAGCCTGTGACTCTCATTTGATGGACACATAAAAAGTTCAATCATCAGTTTCTCTAACCCCAACTTGAGCACCAGGATGTTGCCATGGATTGATTAGTTGAACGTTTTCTCATTGTGAGCGGAGATGAAAGCCTGGAAAAGTGAAATATGACCCTGTCCTGTTAGCGTGTTGTATGGCAGTATCAACGTCAGCCCAGGGCTTGGGAACAGGTTGTGGAGGATTCCTGGGATGTTTTCCCTGAGAATAATTCCTAGTCTTAACTATTGTCTTCTTACAGAACAGCTACCCGCTCCACACCCTTTTAACACTGAAAAAAGGAAGAACGCATGAGTGACGAGCCTTGGTCACGAAAGGGTTTTGCTATTTTAATGGGAAGTCAGTGAAATGTGTTCTGTCGAAACTTACTTGAGAAGTGTCACAATCAATTTAGGCAAATAAATTGCACTTTGAATTGTTGGATTATGGAGCTTTTCATAAGATGGACAAGCTATAATTAAAATAAAAATATATTTTTCTTTTATAAAATAAATATTGGCCTACTTATCTTTAAAAAAAATATATAAAGTATATTTAATCTTTTAAACCTCCATTTTATTTAGGGTTACCACACTTTAATTTAATTTATGATTACGCTTATGTATTCTGACTGAAATATATTCTGACTATAAACACACACACACACACACACACACACGTCTGGTCAGCTATCCTTGTGGGGACTCTCCATAGGCGTAATGGTTTTTCTACTGTACAGACCGTATATTCTATTGCCCTACACCTAAACCCACCCCTCACAGGAAACTTTCTGCATTTTCCAGGATATATAAACCTGTACACACACACACACACACACACACACACACATTTCATTGATATTTTGAATTTGGAAAGTCATTTTGCTAAATATTTTTAATATAATTTATATTTTATCATATTTACCATTATATTTACCATTTGGCAGTCTTATCCCCGTCTCACTTTGCACTTCTGTTCCTGGCCCAGCATCTTGTAAGTTATTTGGGCTGTCAATCATGGGCTCCTCCAATCCAGAGCCTTCTTCACCGCTGTGACCCGCCTCATCCGGCCTTCTCTCTGTCTCCTCCTCAGTACCTTCCTCCTGTTTGATTGTGCGTGCTGTAAGAAAACATTCAAGCTTTTAAACAAGTTTTCAACCATTACACACCACAAAAGTCAGTCTTCATCGCCCACTTATTAATTAATAAGTGTTAATTAATACTCTTTTGAAATCACTGGTTACTATGACAGCACAGTGACCAAGAAATCTGTCCTCCAAGAACGATAACAGCATCGGGATGACTGCAAACAGGAAAAAAAGGCAGACGCAGCTGCAGTCTCTAGGGTAGCAAGGCAAACGGTGGGCAGGTGGAGTTCTACATGACTGACAGAGGGAGACAGTTTAGAGGAGGTGGGCCAGAGCTTTGGTCTGGACTGAGCGAGCCTCTCCATTTATCGCAGCGCGCAGGCTGTCAAGCACCTCCAGGGAGGCCACCCCCACATGCGCAGACACACAGAGCGTGACAAAAATAGACATGTAAAGGGACGTATAAACACATAGCGACACGTAAACACGCGACAGCCTGGCCCTCAAGTTTTCCGTCTCAACCACGCACACTCTCCAGGTTTCACGACAGGTGGAAAAAGAGCAGGCAGCTTTCTGCGCCATCCAGACAAACCTGTTTGTAATTTTACCGTGAGTTTAATCTCTGGGCGAGAGCTTAAGACTAAGCTTTGATTCACCTCTGTCTTTCCCGTCTGTATGAGTGTTGTCCCTCAGGCAAAGCGCTCTGCTGCTTCACTAGATTTGAGTCACAGTCTGCGAGTATGACTGAAATCTCTCTGATCCCCCTAAAAAAGGTCAGCAGTTCCCAATCTTTGCAGACGCTCACAACAGAGCAATATCACTCATAAACGCTATTCGGATGAGACTAGTTTTCCCTGAGGACGTAAATGTGTGTTTCACAAACAAACTCTGTGATTTTATTCTTGTCAGAATTGCATTTTTTCCCCTCAAGCAATCTTGGTAAAAATTACGGAGCAAATTACCCACTTTTTTCGACTTCTTATTTGTATTGACCTTGGAATACTGTAACTAAGGCTAAATTTGTCGTTGTGCACCATAGTGCAACCTCATTATGGATTTTCCTTTTTGCCAACTTGTAATTCTAGGTAAAACAGCTGATGACTCAAGTACTCATCCTATTGAATGTAGAAAGAAAAATTAATTAAATCTATAAGGAAAGTCTAATCAGTCTGATTGTGAGGTAAACTCCATTAATTCATCTATTAAGTATATTATATTATATTATATACAGCATATCAGAAGGATCGTGATGCAGAAGACTGGAGTAATGGCTGCTGAGAATTCATCTTTCCCATCACAGGAATAAATTATAAATTTTTAAGTATCTTAAAAAAGAAAACCGTTTATTTAAATTCTAATAATATTTCACAATATTACAGTTTTTATTGTACTTTTGATCAAATAAATGCATGGTGAGCATAAAAGACTTCTTTCAAAAACATTTAAAAAATCTGAATTATTCCAAACTATATATAAATGTTAATTATAAGTTATAAATCTTAATTATTCCAAAAAATATTTAGGTATAATTTGTAATAATTGGTATAAAAAACATTATAATTAAAACATTTTTTAAAATGGCACATTTTAGAGCACATGACCTACTGAAACATCCTCATCCAATACACACTCCCACCCTGGTGTTAACTAATAAGACCCCCATCCCATTCAAATTAGCTTAGAAAATTCCTTCCAAATAAAGTTATACATATAAGAACAACGACTAGCAAAATTACTGTCAAATGTATCAAACATCTGTTTGAATATCTCGGTCTAGAAACTGTTTACACACGATAACCTGCAGGTTCACAGAGCTTTTGAAAGATAAGTGCTGTGTGGCAGTGCCACACGATAACCCTAACTTCACCCGCTGGCACTTCCAACGAAGTATTACAAGCGTACTTGCTTAATATTGCACAAGAGATCTTCACTTTCAAAGAAACACGTATGACTCGCATGAAGAATGGCAAGCCTCGGTGCACAAAATAAAAACTTGCTCTATACTCACAAATGCAAATGCGGTGCAATCCTGTCAACGCATCACAATCTAACACCATTACCTTAATGTGTCGAGAGACGTATGCTTTTTCCAATTTCTATGTCCATTCTGTTAATCACTGACCTCAGAAAACAGCTGCCTGTGGTTTAATATCTCTAGCATACACGTTATAGAGTGTTTATGATGGCTGCAGCTGAGTGAACTTGAAATGGTTGCCGGGACAACATAAAGAATCCTTTAGCATTCTCATCATCAACTGATCAAAGGAAATGAATGAGAACAAAACGCACTCAGTGCTGAGGATACATACACCCGAGCCAGTGGCTAACAGGCTCACATGACAAAAGCAGAGTAAACCGACATAGATGCATTAATAATGTGTCAGGTCTCTTTCGATTTTTCTATTAAATGTCACATTTGCTGCAAGTTCTTATGACAAAAGGCAATGTCTAAACCTTGAATATTAAATTATCCTTTGAGTTTTTTCTGCACAGAATGATATATTCGAGTCTGTGCATCCCTCCACCTCCAAGTGCAAGCATGGGGTTAACTAAACCAAATGTGTAGATTAGACTTCTCTTTACCCAGTAACATGTTTCTCAACGTCCTGTGCAACATGACCAATAAATTATCTAGAAGAACAATCTCCATCTGGGATCATGGTCTGCACCTCCATCTTCAGTGGCAAGTGCTTCTCTTTTCTCAGTATGCACGCTCATGCTGACGAGCCCTCCATCAAACCAGCAGTTGATTTTGAGGAAGGGACATGTCACAGACTGGGCCTATCCCGTCAGATCACAGATAAAGCTGCAACTTCTATTTTTTATACTGCAAGATAAAGGTCCTTCCTCTGTCCCTTGCAAGCTGATGCTCACTCATTTCTCCTTTTTCAGATCTTTTGCAATAGAAAGTGAGATACTGTACTTCTTATTCTAATGCTAAAGGGATTGTTAACCAAACATGACAATTCTGTCATCATTTACTGTCTTATTTCAGGCGCTAAAAATATGTAAATATGACTTAAGTGCTATATTTAAAATGTTCTGAAGCCATATAAAAGCTTTGTGTGAAAAACAGATCAATTCAGCATTTACTGATAATCTTCCTCCTTTAGTAAGTTGTTAACATGACAACTGTTGTTTTGAGACAGCTTGTCTGAGTCAATGAGTTGATTCAAATCATTCAAAACAAGTTTTATTAACTGAATCAGTGATTCCTTAAAATCTAAGTCAAAAGAACGATTCACTTGTAAAACAGATATCGTTACTTCTGCCTTAGATCTCCTTGGCGTGTTTGTGAGAGATGTTTTCATTGAATAATGACTGAAATTTGGTCCTTTTCCTCACATAAAGATATTATATAATTTGGAAGACATTAGATATAGTCATATGGCCTACATTTCAGAACTTTGCTTCCTTTTTGAAGCTTAAAAAGCTCCAGTCATGAAGCTTAAAAAGCTCCAGTCATGATCTTTTGTGTGGCACGGAAAGAAAGAAATGTCATACAGTTTCGGAATAAGGTACAAAGCTGTCACTGGGACGGTACCCTAAGGTACAAAAGCTAAAAGGTATTTGTACCCCCCACCAAATGGTACATATTAGTACCTTAAATGGTACTTTAAAAATAAACCTTATAAAGTACATATGAGTACCTTTTCGCTTTTGTACCTTAGGGTAATGCTTTTGTCTGAGAGTGCATGAGGGTGAGTAGGCTACATAATAGAAATGTCATTTTGGGTGAACTATCCCTTTAAGATAATCTAATCAATGCACCACATCTAAGAAAGTCAAATGAAAACATGTATTGCTGGGAGTGGACTTGACCGGCCTACTCACCAGCAGGGGAATTAGGACTTTGGGAATGTTGGCCATTGGGTGTGCTGGTCGACAGGTCCACCAGCATTCTCGAGTTCTCCTTCCTGGGAGAGCAGTCGCCGTTACCTAGGAGACAGACAGAAACAAGTGCACTGAGGACATCGCCAAATGCAGCTCTGAACTCAGATCTATACAAGCAGACAGTTCAAGGAAGACCTTTCATAATCACTGCACTTGGAGATTATCAGTCAAAGAAGAAACTGAATAAAGGATAACTGCAACAAAAACTCTTCTAGATTTATTTCTTACTGTCATTTACTACTCAAATATACTTTCAACTGTACTTTACTGTTCAAAACTTCCTACTGAATACTGTTTTTTTATACTTTTTACAGCAATCTACTGTTTACAACTCTATTATTGTTCTGATCTGAGATGGTGATTGGTTGATACAGTGTTCACACAATATATCAAGTGAAACACATTTACTTAGTCACAGTATTGTATATTCACTCACTTAGTCACTGTATACCACTCATAACATAATGTTATTTTTTACATGTCAGGACTACAGTAGTCAACTTTTGAAGTGGATCAAAACCTTTCATCAAACCTAAAAGCATTCTTGTCTTAGGACAACTTTGATGAACTTTTTTGATCCACTTCAAATGTTGACTACTGTATATCATCTAGAAGAAAGATGAATGTGCTTAATAAAACCATGTAGCCTTCTGTTTAAAACTCAAATCTACTGTAGTCTGCTTCCTATTTACTACTCTAAAACTTCAATATACAAAAAAAAAGTCAGGTAAACTAAGAAATGTGGTTAACGTTATAGCTAATCTAAATTAACTGATTTATTGAACTGAATGTTTTTAATTGTATTATATAATACTGACACATAATGTAATAATGCATATAAAATATTTATATAATATAATACAGTTACTGAATTAAACATGTTTTTTTTTCAGGTAAGCTGTGGTCCATCTAAATAAATGGATTTACTCATAAAAAAATGATGAATGAATACATATTTTTATTTGACTCGAAATATGATTTAATATTTAAAATTATATTTATAAAATAGCAAAATTACTGAATCAACCTGACTGATTAATTCACACAACGACTGCTTATATTCAGTTTCGGCACTTTTTAATACTCTTAAGAGATCTCCATTTAAAATGATCCTTCATAATACTCATCGATAACTTGGTAAAGGAGAGCAACATATCCAATGGTTTTCAGGTACTGTATACACTAACTGCTTTTAATAGCACCCATCTCTGTTACGAGAGCCGAAATTTCTCTAGGGTCAGTGACCAGCTCAACACTTCAGTTTACAGAGACAGTGTGCCATCATTTCATGTGGGGAGAGCTTGTTAAGCTTTCAGCCACATCCTTAAGATTCAGATTGGATTTCCTCATCTCTCTGCACCCGCCACACACCGGCTTCGGGAAATAATACGGCTTCAGTGCGTCCACTCAGGGGGAGCGATTCCTGCTCCCTGATCCCGTTACCCACTGACCCCTTCAGAGCCAAACACTCAATACAACAGCAACAACATTAGACGGCTCTTAATGTCTGCATTATGCATACACACAACCACCGAGGGCGGTATTACGGTTTAGATCATTCCTTGAACTCCACGTTTATGACTGGAAAGTACCTTGGATGTCACAGTTAAACTGGCTGTTATATCTCTAACCAGTGTACTAAATCTAATCAGTCCCTCCTTCAAACAGGTTTGTTGGGTAGCAGAGTCAGTCTGTCAAAGGGCTTTAAAACAGTATTCATGGCATTTTAATGATTAATTTGCATGTGTTGTTCTTGTGAATCAACAGGTCCTTTTTCAATCCCCAAACTATTTTAACTTTCATGCCCTATAGAAGTTTTACATTTGTGATTAAAGTAAATGAATCAGTAAATGAAGGCTTTTGAGGTATATCAGGCGACAGATGTCTGTGCTGTCATGCTGGCAGACAGACACTGTCATTCTGACAGGGAGAGTGACTCAGGGAGACGCAGCCAATGACACAATCCCAAAGCCCGTCTCCGGTTACAGTGCCGGGGTTGAGGGAAATCTCAGGTAACCGGCTGTCCCTTGGCAACGGGAAACAAGCAGCCACTCCGATTTGAGTGACGGCCGAGGGGAGGATTTTCCATAACAGAGCGCTGTGTCTGATGGCCTCCTGGCCTGAGAAAGGTTCTCAGGAAAAGAGATCTATGAGAGTAAACTAAACTCTTGTACAGTAGCGACTGAAACCACTCTCTTATCCCACATCTAAACCGAACTATGATAAATATCATTTCTAATGTCAAGCGCACGCTACAAGACTGAAGTTTATTACCCTGTGCTTGTTTAAAGACTCACAGCTTGTCTTTAAAACTTGTCTTTAGATGAATTTATAGTTATATATACGTAGTTCTTTTTCTCTCTTATGCTTGCCAATGCTGCATTTATTTGATCAAAAATACAGTAAAAACAGTAATATTGCTAAATATTATTAAAATGTAAAATAACAGCTTTTAATTGCAATATATTTAAAATTGTAATTTATTCCTGTGCTGCAAAGCTGAATTTTCAGCATCATTACCCCAGTCTTCAGTGTCACATGATCCTTTGGAAATCATTCTAATATGCTGATTAGCTGCTCAAGAAACATTTATTATTATCAATGTTGAAAACAGTTGTACTGCCTAGTATTTTTTTTGTGGAAACCCTGATACTTTTATTTCAGGATTCTTTGATAAATAGAATGTTTAAAAGAACAGGATTTATATGAAATAGAAATCGTTAATAGAAAACATAATACATGTCTTTACTCTCACTTTTGATCAATTTAAAGCATCCTTGATGAATAAAAGTATTCATTTCCTTAAAAAAAATTTTACTGACTTCTAATTGGTAGTATATTATAAATTATGCAAACATATTTTATATTTGTTTCTTTTTTGGGTCCAGCTTCCCAATTACGCAGGCTTGCAGTCTGTGTTTGGCTCTGCTATCATATGGACAATCTCTGATGCACTTTAATATGTGGTTTTCACAGTTTTACAATGATTCCACTTTGTTTAATTTGTTCTACAAATCACACTGACATTCCCACACATATGATTGTTGATGGCCCGAGAGCTCTTTTGTAATGACGGCCTACAGCATACAGTGTATATTAATAAAGCTACCATCTTCCCCCGTGTAGTGATGCATGATGAAAATCCGTAGGCCCTTTGGAGACTACTGGAGTGACTACAGGTCTGGCCTGTGACACTGCTGAGTCAGAATCAGATCCCGATTCACTCATTCGCTAAAACTGTGTGTATACCAATCAAACAGCAACCTACAGAAAGGACTGTTCCATGCACTATTTTTTAGTGGATCGATGAGGAAAATAATTGGGGGTGTTTTCAAGAGTGGCCCACGGGTTCAAGTCAACGTGAAACGCAACAAGTGTGACTTCTATAATGATTTTAGAGTGAAACGGGATAATCAATGAGAAAAAAAAAAAGATTTTTATTCATCACGTATTGGTTGAAGCATAAAAAGTGGATGTTGAATACTGGAAAAAGTAGTTCAATTTAACTAAAAATTGTAAATAGTTTTTTTCATGCACCCATGAATCATATGATAAATAATACATATAAATATGGTCCATTTGGATTTCATGTTAACTTTAAGTTCTGGATGACACTGAAGTGATCTGTGCATCATGTTTGCCGCCGGCTCTATTCCAGTAGTGGGGGTGGAGCTTGGAGGCAGGTTCTGTGTCAGAGTGGCGATACTAGTCAAAAAAAAGAGGAGTTTTAAACAGGAACGCTTCTCCCAGGAAACAGAGTGATTGGTTGTGGCATGTCGTAGATGCTAAAGTTCGAGAGTGGATCAGGTTTATCCTGTCCGTCCACACACCTTCAAACCATCCTTCCACATCAAACACAAAACACATTCCCACTCACACTCCTCACCACCTGCCACCACTGAATTGCTCTTGTTTAAAAGGACAAGCTGAAGGGGACAAGGTCTTATTAGCATATCAATGGCAGTTTACTGTACAAAAGGTTGAAGTATTAGCCTGTGACCTAAGATGAACAATCTTAAGACCAAAAGCCAAGCTGCTGTTCAAGTATTCCCAAATTTGGAAAAAAAAAATATCACTAAGTGGTTATAAAGAAAAGAAGAAAATATGTAAATGATGTGAAAATAAGCTAAATATTGCTGTAAAGACACTTAATCTTTTACTCTTTTCTGAAATGTGATAATGCTATTCAAAAACAAGGTGTGGATCAGTATTCAATCATGTTTTTAAATATAGCAAGCCCTTTAAGAAAGGAAAAAGCCTTTCAAAGTCTATGGAACCAAGTTAAACTGTAAACTTTTCATTTTCCAAGACACCTGCAAGATTTTTTTTAGATGAGGGACGTTTTATCAGCATGTTCCATCTGAGGGAATCTGCCGGGGGAGTGAACGGGCTTGGCGGTACCACTGTGCACCTGGTACTGAAGCCCCGTCCAGATAACCAAATTCAAGAGGAGCCAAGAGTCGATGCAGTTAGCTTTTGAACGGGATCTTGGGGGCAGCTAGAGTGCTTGACTACTGCACATATTCATAAAGCAGAACTGGCTTACAGTACAGCTGCAGACCAACTCCCACAGTGCTGCTGGATTGAGATAGCATATCTAAAATAAATCAATACACATGCAAAATAAAGCAACAAATTATGTCTACACTGCAAAAAAATGTAAGCTTTTAGATGACCAGGATATCCAAACCAAAAGCATTCCTTGATAAACATTGATCCAAATATGTGAAACTCATTTTAAGAAGTCAGAGGAAAAAGACATTATCAATGCGCTCAAGTCTAAACCTAATGAAGCGTGTGCTATACACAAACTCAGCATGAGAGAAGCAGGTGATATGATAAAATCACTGTGATGGCGGAACTGCTTGACTATTTTAGGTCTGTATGTGCTCTGATTGATTACAGTAAAACTATTACTGTGCTATTATTTTTTCCATTTATGTTTCAATGTCTTCAATTAGCTGTCCCATAAAAGAATTCCATAGCAGGCAACACTGAGGAAATCTATAAACAAATAAAACTCAAAATGCATGCAATAGACATAATTCATAAAGAACACTCTCCAACGTCACATTTTTTTACTATAACTAAAGGTTAAAAAAAACTTGATAGGCATGAAATCCCTCAAACCTACCTTTTAATATGCTTTTTTTATGTGCTAAATAAAGTTTGCTTATATTTTCTTGAATATGGCAATAAGCAAAAAAACTTACTTGCAATATAGCCATTCGATGCCTCCATGTCCATATTCAGGGGGCAGAACTGTGGAATGAAGATGAGTTATAAATTAGATGAAGGATCCTGTATTATTCTGTGTGACTTTATTGTAAAAATGGTCATTTGACAAACATTACAGCCACAGGTTTCTTTAAATAATTGTTGTGAATATTTAAATATCTTGTGAAATTTAATGTAGAGAATAAGAATGTCTTTTAAAAAGAAAGGAGTGACCAATAATCAATAATTTGATTTGTATCTTAAATTATACAACACCAAGGTACAAACACTAGGCATTCAATGTCAACAGTTTTTGTAATATATTTTTCATTTCCAAATCAGCAAACCAGTATCTCTGGGACATAAACAAGCTGCTGTGCAAAAATACACAAATGTTCGATTCCTCAACTTTTCTGTTAACAGTTTTTAGCTCTTCTGAACTGAATGCAACTGTCTATATTACTGCCATGTATACTCAAAACAGTTAAACATGTTTTATATAAAACATTTCTAAATTGTCTTGTGAAGCATTAGGGAAGTGACAACTTCCTGGTTAGGCAAAACGAGATACATGCAAAGTGTGAAAATTGCCATGTTTTCACTGAGTTTCAGGTCCTTCTATTGAAATATATGTCTAAAATTAAATGCCTGGACAGAGCAAGTGAGCTGTGAAAATAATGTCAGTAATGCCTCATCGGATGTATACCGTCCATCAGATCATATCAAACTAACCTCATTGCTGGACAGAAACATGTTTAGCCAAGATATAACATATTCTATAACTTATACAGCTTTAATTTAAGTAAACAAAAACAATAAACCTAAGGTTTATATTAGAGCACAGTCTAATATTTAAAAAAAAATATTCAAAATTTGACGGAGACAATTGATCACAGCATTAATAATGCGTTTACTGGATTAATACTGTAGAACAGACTTGGAGGAATGTAATTTTCACTATTGGTGACAAATAAAATAAGAATATAAAAAAAAAAAGAAAAAAAAAATATATATTCCAGTATTAATAGGACAGTATCATAAATAAGAGCTACTGCACGCTGTTTGTGTTTTGCTGATAGATGGAAAGTGCACAAATGGTTCCATGTGCACATGTACAAAATCTCTTAACCAAGACCCAAATTATCCTTACAGAACCTCACTTATGTCACAGAGTAGGGAATTTACAAGCACTGGGTCAGTTTTGGAAAGAGAGATCTGATATGTTCTATATTAAACAACTTTAAAATGTTGAATAACTAATTATTATGATTTAGCTCATAAAGCACTGACATTAGTATTTGTATGAACAAATTCGGTTGGAACAGTATTTCTAAACCTATTAAGGGAATATCAAGTCAACCAATTAAGTAGCTTAATATTAAGTAAAAAATAAATAAATGCACAAAACAGAAAACAACAGTTTGAATAATAGAATAATAAAATAATTTCTCTGCTCTGCACTCTTACACAATTCTCTGTGCAAAATGCACACTCTTAAAAGCATTAATAACCATAATGTGCACATATTGCATTAAAAACAAATAAATCAGTAAACTATAAAGTTAGTGTTTTGCTACCCAAACAGCCCTCATCAAGTCAGGAATCACACAATATCATGAGCCATCTTTCCCGAAATTCCATAAATCATAAGGAATAATCTGACATAACACAAAAGTGCACCTGGATACTCTGTCCCTGATCAAAGTTTCTGAAGTAAACAAGACACAAATTAAAGTTTCTTGATATGGAAATACAACCAGATTGGCAGAAGAAATTAACCCTCAAATTAAATGCACTAAACAACAACAACAGTGTGATGAAATGTCATGCAAAGCATTAGGAGTGAAGTTGGCCTTATGTATGGTGCCGCACTTCTCCAGGGGCCGCGCGTGTGCACACAGCCTTCATCCAGTACTACAGCATAACACTACCAACCCCTATTAATTCCTCAATATCAACAGACGAATTCAAAAAATAATTCCTAATTACACTCCTTTGAGATTTAATGGAAGTTATATGCGTTATATGGGTCAATGACGAATAAGGATGTCTGAAATTATATAAAAAAAAGAGAACTGCTAAAAATCAAATGCAAAACACATGTACTTTGTTCTTAGAAATGTAATCTTTGGAATTACATTGGTTGGACGCATTAAAAAATAAATATATATTTTTTTAAGAATTCAATTTAATGACTAAAATTGTCATGTGGTGTAACCATCAAGTAAAAACTACTAAAATACTTTTTCTGCACCACATTATCATTTTCATTGAAGTTTTATAACATTTAAATCTTCAGCCTATATTCTTCCAAGTTAAAATTGGGGAATAGCATGGATTATTATACTTGAACTAAACAAAACAAAATATCTTCATAAAAAGGTCAAAATATATGAAGAATATATGACCCACAGTTATGAGGGTTTACAGGGGTCTCTGCTTTATGGTTGTCACATGAAAACAAAATGGCTTCCTGCAGGTTGGTTATGCCACTGACTTTTTGTTTGAAATAATAATATTATATATTTTTAATCATCTCAATTTTTTAATAATAATAATAATAATAATTAATTAATAAATACTAATAAAAGACTTACCAAACTAATTACACCAATAATTTCAAGAACTTTAATGACACTTTTTATGATACTTTTTATTTTTACAGTCTCCGAACAGCTACATTATATAGACTTTTTTGACTTTAAGCCCCACACAAAGGAAGAAAGTAAAGAAAGAAAGAAAGAAAGAAAGAAAGAAAGAAAGAAATATTATCAAAATGACTTTAATTAAGACATGTTCATTATAGAGGATGTGTACTGTTGATAAAGTTATTAGACCCGGACAAAAATTAGAGTCACATCATTGACCCATAAACAGATATTAATATAGATTTTATATACATGTGTCACTTTAGCTATGTAGCAGTATTAATGCACAATGGAAAAAGAAGTATTTAACTGTCAGCATTATAATATAGAAAAAACGTCTTTCCGGACTTTAATTGAACTACAAGACTCTACGAGGTATTAACAATAAAAGATGAAACGTTTACCTTTTTGTTTGGTCTCCCCCCTGTGAAAACGCAAATAAGTGTCCAAAAGAAATCCTTGCGTAAAAACAATCGATTATTTCCAATGACAGAGGCTTTTCAGTCTCTACTGTGATGATGAAGTCCTCTGATGACTGTCATGTTCAACTGGAGTTCATATTGGTCACAAACAGGGGACGATCTTGCATCAAAATAAAAAAATTTAAAAAAAGAAGAAAAAAAGTTAGGAAGCAAGCTCGGGTTTGTATGATTCGATGACTTCCTTTGCGCCGAACAAGCCCGTCAGCTTTTCCATTTCACACGCATCTAAGCGCTTTCCCCCGACTATTAGATTTCTTCCTCTGATCGGAAACTGCTTTGACATAGTGAAGTGAAACCTGTGCCTGTTCAACACCTGGGTCAATCGATGGCAGGCTGGGGCGATTACTCAACTGGATCCACCGGTTCCAAGGGAATTAAGCCATAAATAAGGAAATGACGGGAACTGCCTACAACAGGCTTAGCGCCCAATATTTCCACCTGTCTGACACTCCGTCAAAGGTTGCGGGATGACTCTGTGCGTGTTTTCTATATGCTTCATGTGCAGCTCAGTGTATCAGCATTCATGTGACACATAGCCGATAGTAAGCTAATTCACATCAATTTAAATGCATAGGCTACTCTTGGCAGAGGCGTCATTACTTCTATTGCACAAAGAATGCGGCAATTCATTAATTTATCTACAAACACGAGTCATAAATATTGATAAAAGTGCGGATTATAGGGGGGTTTATGGTGTCAATTATAAAAAAAAAAACGGGGGAGGGGGTCTTAAAAGTACGTAGCTACTGTTTCCCATGTAAGTATATGATTCAAAAGCATTTTAAAGTACAAAGTTACATTTCAAGTTACTTCGAATGCGCTGGGCTACTTATTTACAAATCGTTTTGCCTGAAAATTTATCATAACTTATCACGTTAATACAGATTTCCCTATAAAATATATAGACTATATATAATATATTTATTTATTGGAAGGGGAGAAAAAAACCCTCTTTAAGATTTAGTTTACGATTATCTATATGTGCGCTAGAGGCGCCAAAACTTGAATCTCAACTGATTTGATGCCCAACATTTTTTCGAACAAAATGAATTCCCCTAAATTTCAACTATTCACACAGATAGCGACGAATATTTTCGCAATCGCAGACCACTGTATGAAATCAATTCAAGTCATAAATAATAACAATATCCATGTTTTATGCGGGACAGACCGCAAGCAAGCACCTGTTGCTATGGTTACCTCAATTAGAGGCAGGGTTCATTTCTGTTTGCAAGCGATACATTTGGGGCACTCTGATTTGTAATATACGCACTTGTAACTTGTCAAATAACTTTTGTGGTTACTAAAACGTTGCTTGAAAACGCTGCTGAAACGCACGGATACTTACATGTAAAAAGAACAAACACTTTCAGGCCCCACACCTTTTTCTTTAACCTGTTTTGAGGGGTTCAACCCTTTAATAGGTGGGGTCAAACAACCCCTTAATTCGCACCCTGATCCGGACGCGTCCTGGACCTGTCAAAACAGAATACACAGACGCATAAACCCTTTAAACAGAGAAAGGAAAGCCTCGACATTCGCAACGGACGTTTTAGCTTACCTTTAGCAATGGACGGGGTGACACACATCCATCTCACCTGATATGGAGGTCCAGACAGCGACTAAACACTGTGTATCCACCGCAGTGCGATAGACGCGCAGCAATAGTGATTCCCTTCGCCTGCTTCCTCCATCTTCAGAACGGACAGCAGCGAGCGATCGACCGGCTGACTCAGAGAAACGGATCTATCAGTGCCACTCGGTAATCGATTAGACGCCTTATCACTACATTTAAATGCGTTTGGCATGATCTCCACTATTTCGGTATCTATAGGAACGCAAGAAAGAAGAGAAATTGGAATTAAACCTGTCATTCCAAACCCCGTGGCATGCTATAATATATCCACACCTTATGTAACAAAGTATTGTAATTGTTAACATTATAAGCCTTTATTACGAATATTTGGTTATTCTAGAATCTAGATGTAATGACCACTGCTGGTTTGTTGTCCTTACACATCCTTATATGCCTCTTCACTGGTTCCTTAGCCTATATTAGGCTACATAGTTTTCACTTTAAATAGTTTTTTCAAACATATTTCTAATGGGGAGAAAGAAGGTGAGAAATGAGTCACAATTATTACAGGCAAATTGATTTTTATGTTAAAAAAAGATTCAGGGTGGGCATCAGTTTAAATGGCAGTAATTCTTCTCCTGGGCCCCCTCTACTGACCGGAGCGAGAAATACACCACTGACCTAGTTGGAATCCTGTCAGAACTGTGGAGAGCTGGTGATGTCAGTACTTTTTGCAAATGCTGAGGAAATCACACATTATTAAAATTTGTATCAATACAATACATATCAGATACAATTTTAAGATAGATCTTTATATTAAAAAAAAAAAAACCTTTAAGCAGTCATTTCAGTAAGTATACAGTCAGCGAAACCAGCGCCACTAATGATGTTGTCATTTTCTTTATCATCCTTGGAGAGTGAATCAGTGCGGTTATTAGGATCTGCATAAGAATGTCATTGAGATGTTTCACTAAAATGAATAATTTATAACAGAAGGAAATGAAGCAGGTCATATTAGTCATGAAAGGTTGTGCACTTCCAATTTTCATTGTTTCTTTTACAGTAAATTGCAGATGTGGGTATTAAAATGTATTACTGTAAGAGGGCTGCATTTATTTTATAAAAAAAAAAATAATAATCCATTTCACTAATCACTCTTACCTTAACCATTTGCAGATGTGAACTGAAACATACCTGTTCAATGCCTGGGTCGATGTAAATGTTTTAACTTTAAAATGGTTTAAGAATGTGTGCTATGTTTTATGCACAAAAAAAAAGTTTAATCAATATTTTGATCAATCGAAATTCAAATCAAATCAGGTGAAAAATAAATGAAAATGAAAAAAGAAAACATTTTACAACAGTAAAAAAAAAAAAAATGAACAAAAGTTGATTTGCTTTGAACAATTTAATAAGGTCACCATTTAAAATGGTTTAAGAAATAGTGCTATTGTTAATGCATACAGGAAAAAAAACTGTTTAATCAATAATTTGATAACTCAAACAAAATCAGTCCATCCAAATAAACAAACAAACATTTTACCACAGTAAAAACTAGGCAAACAATTATAAAATTAGGCTGAGATCATTTCTCACCCACAAATATTTATAAAAGTGATCTTGTGGAAAATTAACAAAAGTTGATTTGCTTTGAACAGTTTAATAAGGTCACTGTTTACATGTGTTCAACTGTGTTCTTTGAGGCCGCATTGTTTGTTTACTCTACCATCAACTCTCTGATTTGTAGAAGTACCCTCAGATAACAATCAGTTGCTTTTGTTCAGAAGCTGCTGGTTAAATTTCCATGTTTTAAAGAGCACTGTTTGAAGTAGAGGGGAAACCGTTAGACGCCCCCTCCTCTGCCACCCTCTCCCCTACCTGTCTTTTATGTCTTTATTTATTTATTTTTTTACATTGCTGTCTACTTTTCTCTCTTCTTTAGGTTTCAGCTATCCATGAATTACCTCATTCATTCTGTCATGGTTTCCACAGTCCTACATGATCATACATTTAGTGCCAGTAAAATGTCTCCCCAGTCCCAAACAAGGATTCTCAGGTGAGTGTCAGAATCATTTAGTTTTAGTAAATAATTTAGGCTGTAACTGGACTAGATGACTATAAATTAGATGACTAAAATTAAACTCAGCAGATTTGATTTATAGGCTCATCGTGGTCATGATATAGTTACACATTACAAAAAAACTAACAAACAAACAAACAAAAAACTAAGACTTTATCGAACTTTTTTGTTGTTGTTGAAAAACAAGTTTCCTTCAACTTGTAAGTTTAAACAATGGACATTGAAATTAGAAAACAAATCAGACACACAATAAAACAAAAAGAATATAAGAAGTAAAATAGATCATTTAAATTAGGCTTATAATATGAAAACAAGATTTAAAGATTTAGTTGATGATATGAAATGCACTGTACATACTGTCAGGGCACATGCTGACAATAGAAAAGCAAATGTGCTAACTGAAGCATGAAGTTCATTGTACATCCTGTGCTGGTTTAATCGTGGGTAACGAGGTTCAAAGTTTGATAAATATTCTGCATAAACTCAGACAATATAACTTCTTATAGTTACATTTGAATTTGGATGAATTTCTGCCTTTTGATTCTATTCTGTATTGTTAAAAGTTAAAAACATGAACAAATTGTTTCATGTTTTCCACTTATGTTATAATAGAGCTAAAAGGAATAGTTCACCCAAAAATGAAAATTTGCCGTAAACCCTCAGGACATCTAATATGTAGATAAGAGTTTCTTTATTGGAACAGATTCTGTCAAATTTAGAATTACATCACTTGCTCACCAATGGATCCTTTGCAGTGAATGGGTGCCGTCAGAACGAGAGTCCAAACAGCTGATATAGACATCACAATAATCCACAAGTAATCCACATGACTCAGTCCATCAATTAACTTTTTGTGACGTGAAAAGCTGCTCGTTTGTAAGAAACAAATCCACCATTAAGCTGTTTCAACTTCAAACCGAGTCCTCTATCCATAATATTGCTTTCTCCAGTGAAAAAGTTGTCTCATATAAATCAGGAGTGAAACAGTGGATGGACTTTTTCACTGGAGGAAGTGTTATTATGGATTGTTGACTAGTATTTTGTCCAGAAGCAATGGTTTGAAGTTAAGACATGATGGATTTGTTGCTTTCAAACATGCAGCTTTTAGCTTCATTGTTGATGGACTAGAGTTGTGTTGATTGTGTCAGATCAAGATTAATAAATAAGAACAAAATAAGAACAAAAATCTTTTTTTATGGTAGGGCGTGGGTGCTCAAATGTTTTCACTCATTCAATAATTACTGAAAAACAATCAACAATACTGACAAATCTATTTAATCACCTTAAAAGTGAAAATCATAAACAAGTGTAACAAATGTATGATCATTTGAATAATTTTAGTTAGCCACATAAAATGTAAATCAAGTTAACTCAAAATTGATATTTTGTTCTTACACTCCAATAGATTAATACATGAAAAATTTGCAGTGCATTACAACAGCAGGTGTTTAAGCACATGCAGTTGCTTATTAGTGTTTTGACACACACACACACACAAATGGGCCTTAAAGACCTTTAAGCCCTTTGTACTCTGCAATCAATGAAATTACACACCCGTCAGTCTATTACTCTTCCTCAAGGTGTTCATTGTACAATAATAGTAACATTTTGGATTCCTACTGGGCACAAAAAAAAAAAAGAATCATAATTCACTACCTGCCAATCAGTCTTTTCAACTCTAGAATAAACTTTCCAGTTCATTCCTGCAGCAGTTTATCTCACTTCTTTCAGTATTGTTACTCTTACCCTCTATTTTTCTCAACTAGATTCACTCCAACATAACTCGTATAGATAAAATAGGATTATATTGTCTCTATCTATCAGGGTAAGATGACAGAATAAGGATTTTACAAAGAAAATACAGAGCCAAAAGATGTCTGAATTAGGATGAACTATTTCTGTGGAACAATCATCTTCTATGATTTCAGTATGATTCAAAATAATGTCACATATATATATATATATGGTTCCTCTGTTCACTGGTTGAGTTATGGCGACCGATTTCTTCAGATGATTTTACAGCATTACCTATGTTGTGGTCCCTTCTGTTTTTAATAATCAGAACTATTCTGTGGCATGAGTCCTTATGTTTCTAAAAGCATTTTATTATTCTTCATTTAAAACAAAGTTGAGGAGGATATATATCGGGATTGAGAGGTCTCAAAATATGAAACACCCAAGTAAAAATCTGACAAAAGTGTGCTTGACAATCATGGTTGCAAAAACTTTTGAAACTTGGTTTCAGACAAGAAGTGGAGTCTCATTACCTCTAAACCGAAACGAAGGAATTTGTTTCATCTTCATCTGCATTTGCGTATAACAACATGCAACACATATTCAAGCTTAAATGTGTCACAAAACCACTGATTAGAAAAACAGCCTAAACCACAGGCCTCGTTTTCCTCATATTTTAATTGAGAATGGTTTTTTTTTTTGCACTCACCTCCCCCAGTTCCAACCCTCTGTACCCCAAAGCGCACACACATAAAACACACACAGATATGTATGAACAACAACTGTCACTGCAGTCTTTCTGATGTTTTGCACTGTATTTGTGCTCTTTATATTTGATGTAGCTACTGTTTTGCTCCAGTATCTTGTTCTGATGGACTCAAATCTATCTATGTATACACAAGCATGCATACCGTACACTCACAAACCACCCTAAAGAAAGCTTTTTGCATTTTTATAATGAAAAAAAAAAATACAAGTTGTTTTATATAACTGAAGATATCCAAAAGTGAGGTTTATGCCACATTTAGCATACACACACACACATAATCAACCTGTATTAACTCACCACAGATACTTTTGTCATCAGACTTATAGTCTCTGCACACAGAAAGAGAACCAAAGCAAAACCTCAGATAGGTTTGAGTTTCAGACACCCACACTGAGATCACATGTACTGAGGTTGGATCTTTGCACAGCCCTGCACCTGAGGATGGATGGCCATAGATGTGAAAATGTTTGAAAGCATGTGAGAGTGTGCAGGGTGCACATCAGGGTGCACTTCTCTCGCAGTCACTGACGCACTTTTAAACAGGAAACATCTTCATACCCAAGACTGGAACACAACCCAAG